AAAAAAAAAAAAAGGGCATACAACTTCATTTTTGGCTGCACCTCTTCACATATATTTCAATTCAACATAATGAATTTAAAGGATCTTAACCAATCTCATGACGCCCTCACAGCAAGTCACTAATCTTTCCCTTGACGTCATGTCAGTAAAATCTGATCTAGCTGAGCTTAAAACTCTCCCTATAACAAGTATACTAATATTAATTATATTGCACAAATAAATAGATCACATATGTTTACATAACCAGATGATGTCTTAATTCACTGCCATTATACACTATGCTAGCATTCACTGCTCCCATTACACATTATCAGAGAATGGGAAACAAGAAGAAGATGGACTACAGTGGCAACACTCCTCACTGCCCTGCCACTGTCTTTGTTGCCAATTTACCCTTTTCTTTCACCAATTCTCAGGTATAAATCCCTCCCCCCCCTTCTCAATAAACACACACACACACACACGTGTGTGTGTGTATTTTTTTTTTATCAAAGATTAAATGCTTATTCTTGTTGCCTTAAACTTCTTTATGTGAATAATCAAGCTTGAAGAAACATTCAGTGAGGTTGGACCGATAAGACGGTGCTTCATGGTCGCCAAGAAAGGTATATCTTTGTCAATCATCATTTTCGAACTGACATAAAATAAATTATGGTATTATTGATTACAATTACTATTTATATATTTGTTTTTCTTTATGAGAACATTGCACTGACACTCTATACGAAATCAAATACATTATCATTAAATATAACATAATTGCTTTTGTCATAAGTTTTAGAAGCTAAATGTGGACTTCTTTTAATTACACGTCTTCTTTTAATTAAACGTGTATATCAGGGTCTAACGAACACAGAGGCTTTGGCTTTGTTCAATTGTAAGTGTATTTTCTTCGATTTCTTCTCCCTTCTGTAAAATTTCGAGGAAATGCTAACGCCTATGCTTGATTTTTAATGCAAATTCAGTGCCACCATTGAAGATTCTAACCGTGCAATTGAGCTGAAAAATGGCTTGACCATTGGAGGTAGAAAAATTGGAGTGAAACATGCTACACATCGTGCTCCTCTTGAGCAACGTCGAGCAAAAGAAAATCAAGGTCGTAGTTGCATTTCCTTTTTCTGAATTTTCAACTTGAGTTCACAGTATCTGCTACCTCATCTACTGGAATTTAAAGATGTCAATACATTCTTGAAGTTAATTTAATAGTACTGTTTTATGACTT